GCTCCGTATCTTCCCGACTCTGAGAACCATAATATTAAATTAGCAGAAGGAACTTTTTTTATAGCTGTAAGCCATAATCATAAAACTTAATAGAAACAACAGCAATAAATGCATCATTGTGTATGTAATGAATTTATATGTTTTTTTTATGATCAAATCAGAACAAGAAAAGGACATTTTGATATTTTAATTTATAGAGATCCACTCGTATACTTCTGTCTTTAAAGTAATCACAATAAAGGAACTGAATAAAAGCAGAAAGCAGTTGTGGATAATCGAATATTTTGAAACCAGCAATGCACTTAGGTTGATGTGAATGTTTGTTGCACCAGTTTAAAGGGCTAAAAAGAGTCACCTGAGCACGTGATCAACACCAAAACCCTGACGGGTCTTATTGCTGCATAATTACCTCTTTCATTGTATAATGTTTGATTGTAAAATCTGACATCAATCTGCTGTTGAACCGACGCTGCTTTGTGAAACTATGCTGAATGAAAAAGACTGCTTTATGAAACCACTAATGCATCCTTTTAATTTAATTTAGTCAATGTGTTTAGGTGACATGTTTTTCTTTCTAAACTGAGCGTCGGCTGGATTCTAGGTCCAACCATCAGAGGGTTTCCTTTCCAGCGGCTTCAGGTACCTGAATCTGGATCGTCCTCCTTTTCTCCTTCATCCACCTGCCAGCAGTTTCCTCTGGCTTTCACTTGAGGTTTATTTTAAAAACATCCAATGTTCAGATGTCAAGGTGTAAGTTATTGATCTATTTATTAGTCTGTTTCTCATTTTGTTGCCTTTTTATTCACCAAATCTGATAATTTAATCTCCTGTACGTTAGACACATTTTATTTTAGCTTCTGAATTTAATGCAATAAAAAGGACATATGGTGAAATTATCTTCGGCCGAGCTGTGGGTTTCTTTTTGAAGAGCAGAGTGATGAAGCATGAGGAAAATCTGATGAAAATGATGGAGGGGGGAGTCTCAGACTTTAAGCCGGATTATAAATCGAGAACAGCGCGGGGTTGTTCGGTGCCAAAATTTAAAATAGCCAGGATTATAATCTGCCAGATATTCAACACAAAGAAAATTATTTGCCAGGTTTATAGAGTTAGAAGTGGTGGATTAGCAAGTAAATAGGTATTTAATTTGATGTTTCAGAGGGGGATTAGAATAAAATGCTTTTTATTCCTGCTTCTGAGATGAACTAAGTGAGGCAGATCAGACTCAAGAGCAGTCCTGGAAAAATTAATAGGTCCTCTAATAACTACTAATCTATTTTATTGTAAAAACTGATTTTAATATCATTTTTTCTTTTATTTTTATAAACTTTCTGTTATTTGCAAATGTATCAAAATGAATAGATCATTCCACATAGTGGCAAAATATTACATATTACATTATTTTTTTAATGAAAGCACAAATCACCTTCTACCTCCAAGTATTTCTTGGAAATATTTTTTGTGTTAATTCCACAATTTGAAGACTGAGACACAAATATGACATTTTTAGAGCTTATTTCAATGAAGAATTACTATATGTATTAATGTAGGTCAATTCAAATCTAAAAATTAACTTGTAATTTAAAAAAATTGCACACTTAAATCCACTGATTGCATCGTATTTTCACTGCTAAACTGCTGCTCATTCACTGTCTGAAAGCTGTACGAAATGAAATGTCGTTTTGTTTACACTGTGTGTACAAAACGACAACAAAAGTTGTGTAAGTCTAAGTAAATCCAAAGTGCAGCTCAAACATTGATGAGGACATGAACAATTGCATATATCATCCAAATTATATTAAACTAAAAAAAACAAGTTTTTTTATTTGTCTTCTTCTTATTCCTTTTTAGTTTGCGTTCTTATTGAAAGGTATTTGTACCTTAAATTCAGAAAACTAGCAAAGATAGTTGAGTTTCTGCCTGTGTTTTTTTCAGATATAAAACTGAGAGTAACAAAAAAAAAAATGCAGAAATACTGTAATTTATTAACTAGGAATTAACTTATTGTTATAATTGTTTTTAAAAAAATGTATGTATTACAACAATAAACATTGGTACAGGTTATTTGAATTCTGGTCAAAATACCCACAAAAGGAAGTTTGTCCCTGGATGCTGAGTTTATAAGGTGATATCCTCAACGCCTCACTTAGCAATATGGAGCCTCTGTCACAGTCTTGGTTTTGTTATGTTTATTTAGAGTATTCAGCTTCACTTTGCTTCTTGTTTTAGTGTTTAATTATTATTTTGTTGTT